GATTAAAGCAAAGTAGCCAAGGCTGAAATGACACAGGTGCAATGAAGAATGATGATCTTAGCACCTGAGTCTCTAGTTATGAAACTACAGACTAACAAATACTTGATTCAAAATGTCTGTGTGGTTGGGGGCCAGCCCTGAGGCCTAGTGGTTAAGTTTGGTGTGCTCTGCTTCAGTGCCCCGGGTTCGGTTCCTGGGTGTGGAGCTACACCACTGATTGGTGGCCATGCTGTGGCAGCATCTCACATAAAATAGAGGGAGATTGGCACAGATGTTAGCTCAGCAACTATCTTCCTCAAGCAAAAAGAGGAAGATTGGCAACAGATATTAGCTCAGAGCCAACCTTCCTCAGCAAAATAAAAAATGTTTGTGTGGCAAGAAAAAGGAGAAACACATAATCATGGCAATGGATTTGAATTTCTCTTGATCAGTTCACAAGAAAGAAATGTAGAGCTAAAAATGTAATTAATAAGGTAAAACGAATACATGTACACTCTGGATTTTATATTCTACATATAGAGAACAATATGCTTTTTGGATGTTAATAGAGATATTTCAACCATGGATCATGTAACAGGTGTGAGGCAAAGCACTCACCTCCAAGAGAAAACCCAGGAGGAGAGTGGAATCAGTCAGGGCAATTCTTGTGCAGCAGGAGTTTTGGAGGCTGGCGTGGCTGCTAGAAGGCTCCTCCCTGGTCCTGAGGCCTTTGTCCTCATGACTGCCTGAAGGTTGCGGTATCTCCAAGCATTGTGTTCAGTTCCAGGCAGGAGGAAGTGCAAGGGCAAAGGGGCAGCTGGCTGATTTTGCAAAAGCCCCACTGAGTGCTGTAGTGAGGAGTGGGCAGGAGGCAGGCACAGCCCATCCTCAAGGCTGGGTGCTCCTCCGAGAAGCATGAGAGTTCCTCCCTGAACCGTCCACCCAAGGATGGGACGCAGGAACATTTACTGCTGACTCCTGGCCCCCACGGGTTGAGAGCCACCCCAGGTGTGTTCACCCCTTCAGAGCAGCTCACGTGCAGGCTGAGAGCACAGTGAAGGAGCGAGATCCACCCTGGCTTCTGATCCTTTAGAGCTGAGTGGTGGTTCTGATCTGGAAAGAGGCACAGAGAGCATAACCTGTGACCGGGGAGCCTGGTGGAAGACCCACCTCTGCCCACCAAGGGGAGGTCGAAAGGCCCCGACAGGGTCAGGGTGATGGAGAAGTAAGTGGCACCCCCCGGAGAGAGCTCATTAAGCCTTGGTGCTGAGCAGAGCAGAAGTGTAGGCTCCTCACCCCTGAGGCCACCTTATGAGCTGGCTTACCTTGTTGCAGTTGTGGACACAGGAGTGGAGGGATGTGTGGGATGGGAGTTGATACTCAGCATGGGGTCTCTCCCTGAATGTGGCCCCCCCAAGCCTGGGTCATGTTTTATGGAATTGGCATAAAACCCAGCATACATGTCCTGGTTCCTGTCCTGTGGCAGCACCCACAGAATCCAAAGTCAGCTGCACTGAGTACTGCACCCTCGCACCTGTGAATGAGAAGTCCTCTTATACATGGAGCTCTGCAAAGAGGAGGATAAAACAATCTAGCCCTAAAAACTATCTCAGCTATCATTTGAATTGCTGACAGAAGGACAACTTTGATTTGATTTCTCACTTCCTTTGTGCACATTGGAGCAGATAAGAGCGGCTGGTCCCTGGCATTTACCTGGTGTGTACAGGCCTGGTGCCTGCCCTGTGCAAACCTCCACCTCTGCAGAACCCTGCTCATTGCTCTGTGGGCCCCTTACTCCATGGCCTTTGTCTGGACAGAACCTGCTCCCCAGAGTGCATGACACACCTGCTCTCTTCTGGGGCGTCCTGCATGAGATTTCATGGAGAGGAGGCTCATGCCCCCACAGGTGTCGGCAGCATTACTCTTACATCAGCTGAGGGGCATGGAAGAAGCTCCTGGGAAGGGGAATGGAGTGAGCTGCCTCAGCCCCACCACCACTGGAACCTCGCCCCGTCCTTCTCAGGGACCCCCAGTGAGGGACTGGACTGTCTATTCACACAGGAAGGTGTCTCAGGGCAGGTGACCTGTCCAGTCAGGGGTGGCAAAAGAGGGGGAGGAACCCGTTCAGATGAGGCTCCTCCCCCAGGAGGGCACGTCCCTGGGAGGGGATGGCAGGGTGGGCACAGGCGGACCCCCAGGTTTCCGCCTCAGTGTCTCCTAGAAGCAGTCCCCCATCCTCCACCTCCCCAAAATCAGCACATTACACTGAACCCAGCTGTGGTAGCATCCATCCCCATGGATGGCAGGAACCATGTCCCACTCCTCTCACCCTAGCCCATTTGCTGAGATTAGTGGGGTGAGGATTAGTATTTAATTTCCTTCTGTATCACTTGGCATTCCATGGTCACAACCAATCCATAGAAACTGACTCTGGGTAACTTAACCAAAAGAGAATTTATTGGGAGGGTGTTGAGGATTCCTAGCTTGGAAAAGAAGGCAAGACCAGGGACACTATAGGGGGCAAGTGGCCACCTTGGGGATGAGTGGGTAGCAGCTCCTGCCTCCAGCCTGGCCCAGCTCTGCTGTGGGCTGATGAACTGACCCTCTTCCCCGACCCTGTGGGTCCCCCCCACCTGGAGATCCACTTCTGGGCAGGGGCGGGCAGCTGGACTGACAGCCTCTCCAGGCTGGAGCGGGGCTGTAGTCCTCAACAGGGAATTGGGTGCTCCCTGGGAGGGGCAGGCTCCAAGCACCCAATGTCTAACGTGGCCGCTTGTTCCATATTTTTGTGTTTGCAAAATGATGAGGAAGTGTTTCTGCTCTTGCCGTGGAATCCCGGGCACAGCCTGAGGAGAGGGACTCAGTTCTCCCTCCTTGCTGAACAGGGTGCTGGGCTGTCCAGGAGGATGCAGGTTGTGCTGGAGGGGGGTCATGCCTCCGACCCCACAGCTGTGACCACCCTGAGGAAGGGTCTTCACACAAAAAAGCCAAGGAGGCTGGGGGTGCCTAAAAATGTGCACCCTCCCTCTGTGATTGCTGCCTCTACATCAGGCCAAGGAGGTGACGGGACTTACCAAGCATCTGAAAGGCAGCGAGCGTCTCAGGGAAGATGAGAATTGAGTTGAAGGCTCATGGTTAAAACACATGATTTGCATGAGCACAGAGAGTGGTGTGAGGTACACACACCCAGCGGACGGCGTTGCCTACTTCGGACTGAGGTTGCAGGCGCTGCCTGGGGTGCTCTGATGAGTATATGTTACTTTTGTAACTAAAAACATTCAGAGAAGAGCTGAATTTAAATATTGTCCCATGGAAACATCCCCTTTACTCCCTCCCCCTTCTGGTCACTTGGGGGACAGGGGAGCACGTGAGCAAGGAGGGGGTGATGGGGAGGGGAGGATGGTCTTCCTGCTGGTGCAGTCCCTCTGCCTGCTGGTCATTTGGGCTCCAATATCTCCTCTTCCTTCCTAGTGCACCTGAGGGGAAACCATAGCACCGTGTTTGTTCCATCCGTTCCAAACACACTTAGTTCCTTCCAGAGGATTCCAGGCTCCCTGAGGAAGCTGCTCTGTGGAAGGGAAAGCTGTCAGCCTGCTGGATTGATGATCTCAGGCTCACAGGAGAGAGAAGGGGAGGTGCAGGGACATTACAGACAGCATTTGGGGCCATGAGAAGTGTGTGTCTGAATGTGGCTGCATGTGTATGTGTGCTAGTGTGCACACACATATGTGAGTGAGTGTGTGCATGTCTCTGTGCCTGTGTGTTTGCGATTGGGTCTGTATGAATACAGGAAAGTGTGTGCACACGACTGCCTGTATGAGGGTGTATCACGCTAAAGCAGCCAAAACAATGAGAAACAAGCATTTCTGCACATAAAAGCATCACAGCAAAACCAAAAGTGGAATGGGAGAGTGGGAGAACCTGGTTCTCTCTCCAGTGGGGGTGCAGAGGGTAGGTCTGAACAGCCTCCTCAGTCCTCAGCATCCCTGGCCAGTTTAGTTATCTGCCCCCACCCCAATGATTATGCTTTTGTGGGACCAAGTGCTCTTCCTCTGTGGCATTTATCATGGTTAAACTTCTATTTCTATTCAAGCATAAAATACACATGACATCAAGTGCACAAATTTTGTGTAGCATGATTGCTTTGCACATATGTATGTACAACGTTCCTACCCCCAATCAAGACCGAGAACATTTGTAGCACCCAAAGGTTCCCTAGTGTCCCCTCCCAGGCAATATCCACATGTCCCACCTCATAAGAGGTAGAGGCTTCTAGCACACTGGAATTCCACACGTGTCTGAGATCCCAGGGTCGATGCTCATCTCCTTTGCTAGACAGTAAGCAGGCGTGGGAGCAGGGATGGGTCCCCTCTGATGATCTGGGCCCCAGCACAATGCACAGCATAGGGTGGTGAATAAACATCTGTTGAACTAACAAGTGATGCTCACCACCCAGGTGGGGCGGCAGACCTGGAGAAGGTGCCTGCAGGTTGTGCCTGGGTATCAGCACTCATTCAGTTCTTGTGGAGTGTTGGTCTTTGGATGTGATGCACAGAATGTGTGCCTGCATCAGTTCCTCTCTGTCCTCAAGAAATCTGAAATCAAGGCACCCTTAGGTGACTGCAGGCCCCACTGGAAGAGAAGTTGCAGCCTGCAGCGGGGGGCGGGGCATGCCCAGCCCATCTGGGGCCAGTGCCTCCACTAGGACCAGACTTGCACGTGGGTCCTCCTTATGCCAGCGTCAGTGACTACTGGACCCCTCCCAAGGAAACCACTCCCCTATGGGAGCAGCCCCAAGGCACAGCAGGATTGGGGGGCATAGTCAGTGCAGCCCCCAAACCAGACTAGAAGTGATGGGAGAGTCACACGGAAAACACAAAGAGGCCTTCAGCATGCTGTACAGTCTGACTCAGGAGGCCACCTGCGTCTGTGCATGTGCCCCCCCCCCCATGTGTATCCCATTCACAGGTCATTCCAGCAAGAGTGCTTTCGCCTGCAAGTAACAGAAAACCCACCAGGAGTGGCTGAGACAGGTAGCATTTATTTTCCTAACTGTGAGCTCTGGAGACAGATGGCTAGAGACACTGGTTTAGCAGCTGCATGACCATGGCCAGCAATGCCACAGCACCATCCTCACTGTTCCCAGAGGACAAATGCTGGAGGGGACCCAGGGATCCCAGTGAACTGCCCCTGACCTTTTACTGACCATGATTCTCGGTCACATGCCATTCCAGGACTAATTGGATTGTAACTGGTTCAGACTGGCCACTACCCTCCTCGGGAAGGGAGAGGCTACACCCCTGAGGTTAAGAGGCCACTGCCTACCAGTGGAAAGTGGGGGTCCATTAGTAAGGAAGGAGATGGCTGTTTGGTCTGCCATGATGAAGACTACCCACTTTGAGGCCAAGAGCACCCAGACAGTGCTCTTCTCATTCAACCATGTGAAGGAGCATGTAGTGTAGGACCACCGCTCTGGGAGCACACATAGAAGACAACCCCACAAGGGCTAAACACACCATGCAGATGTGGGCGGGCAGCCAGGAGGTCCTCTCTGCAGAGGAGGCCCCAGGCAGAGCCAATGGTGAACACGTTGACTGGATGAAGCTACAGCCAGGCTAAGACACTAAGGCTGAGGAGCAGGGGGTGTCGGGTCGGGGGGTAGGGCAGGCCACTCTAAGGAGTTTGGATTTTACTCTGAGCATGATGGGAAGGCTGCAGAGTTTTCAGTAGGAATGCCACCAAACCTGACATATGTTTTTAAGACATCACTTTGTCTGCTGGGTGGAGAATAGCTCATAAAGGGTCAAAGCTGAAGCCAGGAGACAGGAAATGTGTGTGCAGGTGGGAAATGCAGAGCTGTGGAAGTGGGAGAGGTGGGGGGGGGGATGTGGGGTTGGGGGCTGTTTCAGGTGCTGCTAATGTGCCTTCCTGGGAGCTGGCAGGAGCCCCCAGCTCAGCTCCCTACCTGGAAGGTGCTGGCCTTCAGACAGGTCTCTGGTAAGAGCCGGGACGGGCTGGAGCCTGTGCCTCTAGGAACGCTTCTTCCAGGAGAAACCTGGCTCTCACATCTTGTATCTTTAGGACCTTCTGTCCACCATGCTCACGTGCCCTCCCACCCTGTTCCTGGCACATAAAAGCACCCAGTCCTGCTCTTGTGAATGGATATGCTCATGCTCATGCCCCAGGCTTGCATGCACTGACGTATGTGAGCACCTAGGTGGGGGGCAGCTCCAGAGTCAGGACGCCTGGGTTCAGATCCCAGCCCAACCTCTTACTGGCTGTGTGACAAGTCGCTGGACCTCTCTGTGCCTCAGTTTCCTCATTTGTAACACAGGCAGAGAACAGTCCCCACCTCGGGCTATCACAAGAATTAGATGAATTATTAGACCTACAGGTGTCAGCTGGTGTTATTCACATTATCAGGTACAAACCACCTCCACACACCCAAGCCACAGCAATGAACCATGTCTCTGGGCAGAGCAAGGGGCCCTGGGCTGGCCTCTGCCAGTGCCCTCAGGTATGGGGCTCCGGGCAGTGGCAGCAGGATGGCCAGGGGGTGCAGCTGGGCTGACAGCAGATCTGCAGGGCAGGGTCTTCGCCCCGGGCCATCTGGCTGGGGCTGAAGGTCATGGTAGCATCAAACTGGGCCTTGAGCAGCTGAAGATGCTTCAGTGCCTGCAGTGTCTCTGAGGTGACCTTGGCCACACCCTCCAAGAGGTTGTAGTTCTCACTGGGGTCCTCAGACAGGTCAAAGAGCAGCGGGGGCTCATGGGCGGTCAGAGGGCTGGAGGCGTGGCAGGCAGGGTCCGCTGTGGTGTCACTGTGGGCAGAGCCTGGGGAGGGGGGCTCATCTGTGCACAGGGCAAGAGGGAGAAGAGGGGCCAGGCCTGGCCCCTGAGGGGGTGGGCAGGGCTGGGGAGAGGCAGTTACCCTGGGTGAAGAAGTGAGCCTTGTACTTCCCACTCCGCACAGCAAAGACCCCACGGACCTCATCTGGGTTGGCCGGATAGAAGAAGACAGTCTGCCGGGGGCTCTTGGGAAAAGGTCAGGGGTCATGAGGTGGGGAGGGGCCCCCAGGCACTGATCTGCACATACCCAGAGTCGTCAGCCTGCGAGAAGCTCTGGATGTGTGGCTGCTCCCTGCCCACTCAGGAACCCCAGAGGCAGCACCATCTGGATGCCACTCAACAGAGGGTCTGCCCAGGCCTAGGGGCTCGGGTGCTGCCCAGGCTCACTACTGGCAAGGGTAAGCAGGGGTGGGGGAGCCAAGGGTGGAGGGTCGCAGGGTCGCTGGCCTTACCTTGCCTGTGCCCAGTAACAGGGGGCTGAGGTCAACGCCATCCAAGGTGATGTTGGGTAGCGGGGCCCCTGTCAGGGCTGCCAGGGTGGGCAGTAGATCCAGGGAGCTGGCCAGTTCATGGGTCACACCTGGGGGCAGAGGGCTGTGCAGTCACTCCATTCACCATCAGGGTTGGGGAGGTGGGGCCAGGAGTCCACAAGGAGAGGGCCTGAAGACTGACCGGGAGCGATGTGGCCTGGCCAGAAGGCCAAGGCAGGCTCTCGGACACCCCCTTCGAAGGTGGTTCCCTTTCCGCATCGCAGGAGGCCAGAGCAGCCACCGCGGGACATCCGCATGGTCTCAGGTCTGGGACACAAGGAGGTGGTCAGCAATGAGGAGCCCAGGGACTCTGATCGGACCTGGTAGCCCCAGCCCCAGACTTCTAAGTTACATGCTGTGCACAGAAATGGCCAGTATATGCCTGTCCCTTCCCTGTCCTACCAAGACCAGCACTTCCACATACTCTGGCCCCCAGCCTCCCACATACACCTGTGGGTCACCATAACATATCTCTGGCATCTCCCAAGACCCCTTAGCCCACTATGTCCTCTTATCCCTTCTACGTCTGTGAGGGATCAACCAGCATCCCCATGCCCTGGGCTGGCATACCCGTTGTCTGCAGCGAAGATGACCAGTGTCTCTCCAAGCAGTCCCAGGTCCCCCACAGCCGTCATCAGGGCCCCCACAGCCGCATCCAGCTCCATCAGGGAGTCCCCAAATGGCCCGCGGCCTGAGCGCCCTGCAAAGCTCTGCCCACTGAACTGGGGGTAGTGGGTGTGCTGAGGGCAGAGACTGGAGTTAGCCTTGGGTAGGGGTCATGGGCAGCCCAGAGAGGGGGCCAGGGTCACTCACGTGAGAGGCGTAGTACAGGAAGAACGGGCGGCCCTGGCGCTGGGCATCAGCCATGAGGTCACGGGCGAAAGCCACGTAGCGGGCCTCAAGTCCAGGCAGCCAGGGGGGCTGCACCACCACGGATAGGTTGGCCAACAGTGGGATAGGGACCAGGCCCTGGTCACAGCTGCCATCACAGGGGGTGGCCGGTGGGAAGCAGGTCAGGTTCTGGCAAGGGCCCTGGGGGAGCAGCTCCACTCAGGTGTCTGGTCCGGGGGGCCAAGAGGAAGGGAACTGATGGGAGGTGGGCAGGAGGGTAGCTGAGGGCCCTGGCAGTTCCTACCTGGTCATGGGAGTATGGGATGCCCAGGAATCGATGGAAGCCCTGGTGGGGGGGCAGAAAGGCCCCCTCAGGCCCCACCCCAAGGTGCCACTTGCCGGCCATCCCTGTGAGGTAGCCTCGGGCAGCCAAGACCTCAGCGAGGGTCACCTCCTCCAGGGGCAGGCCCCCGCGGGAGCTGGGCTCCAGAACTCCAGGGTACAGGCCCATCCGAACTGGGAGTCGGCCAGTCAGGAGGGCAGCCCTACAGGACAAGTCACAGAGTCCGTGAGACAGAGAGAAACTAAGACTGAGATGAACACAAGAAGAGGAGACAGCGAGAAAGACAGAAAGGCGAGCTTCTCCATAGAGAGGGACACACACCCTCTTCCTCCCCCACTGCACTCAGAGTGACTCTGGGAGGAACTGGATGGGTGGAGTGGGGTGGGGTGGGGTGGGGTGGAGGTGCAGGTGCGAGCTCCCCTGACTCTCACTCACCGGGACGGTGTGCACAGAGACACTGGCACATAGAAGTCCGTGAACCGCAGCCCGCCTGCGGCCAGCTGGTCTAGGTTGGGGGTGGTGGAACTAGGGTGCCCATAGGAGCCCAGGTCCCCGTAGCCCAGGTCATCGGCAAAGATCAGCAGGATGTTAGGTGGGTTGGCAGCTGCCAGGCCTGAGGCCAAGGCCAGAGCGAGGGCCCACGGCGCCACCATGGCTCACAGCACAGATGGGCCTATCACCAGACCCTTGAGAGGCAAGGCAAACTGGCTCCAGCAAGCTCTACCCCTGAGACCCCAGAGCCAGGCGCTACCCTCTCTTGAGACCCCAGACGCAGGCGCTTACCCTGCCCTGAAAACTCAGACCCGGGCGCTACCCTCCCCTGAGATCCCAGACCCCAGACTCAAAGATACCGCCCACCCCGACAACCCTCTTCCTTGAAGTCCAAGCGGACTCGGCACCCAGAAACCCCATACCCCAACAAAACCCAGGAGACCATGGCCCGGGATATACTCCCCGGAGACCCTCAGGGACCAGAACACCTTCAGATTCTCGGGCGGAGATCTGACCCGCTGCACCTAGAGGTCCCGGCCCAGGATCCTGGTCACGGGCAGAAGTCACATGACACTGACCCACCGGGTCTAGCGCGGTGGGACGAAGGCTACATACGGCCAAGCAGGCGTCGCTGCCGAAGACCTGGCAGCAGCACCCTCCGCAGGCGCTTCCGCCTCGGCCCAGCCCCGCCCCGGCCCGCCCAGTGGTCCCGTGACCCCTGCGCGGCGGCCCAGGGGCAGGGAGGGGCGGGGCGGGGTTGGGCGGGACCTGCGCGGGCCGGGCGGGGCGCCGTCTTGGTCGTGCGCGCGCGCGGACTCGCTCTGCGCCCCGAGCCGTTGGCGCCAGGAGCGCGGGGCGGGGCCTGACGGGGGCGGGGGCGGGGGCGGGGCCTGACGGGGGCGGGGGCGGGCTCCGCGGAAGTCAGCGCGGGGCGCGCGGGGTGTGTCCCGGGGACGGCCGACTGCGGGGTCCTGAGCACCGAGAGCCATATGCGCCCTCGGTGAATGAGCAAGTCGAAGTGAAAACCCTGCAGCCAACGGACTGCTAGGTTTTCCTTCAGCACTACTTTTGGTGCTTTTCGTGAAACACGAGATAGCAAATTCAAACCCTTTCCCCTCTGTGCATGTGTGTCGGTTTGTGTGTCAATGTGTGTGTGGTGTGGTGTGTCATGTGGTGTGATGTGTGTGGTATGTGTGTGTGGTGTGTGTGTGTGTGGTGTGGTGCATGTGTCAGGTATCTGGGGTCTGGTCTGCGTGTGGGTTACACCAATGGAAAGAACCCACTGGGAGAGGAGATGACTGGTCCTGGCTCCGTCCCTGGACAGCCTTGGATAGCCTCCACTTTCTGGGCCCTAGTCTGTTTAGCCATCTCCAAGTAAGGGAGAGTCGGCCGAGGGTGGGTCGGTGGTTATTTTACTCAGTGCGGCTGAGTGCCCCAAGGTGGGTGCAGTCACTAGCTGCCCAGAGCAGCTCCTCATACCCTCACTACCCTATGGCAACTCCCTGCAGCCCAGGGAACCCTGCCCAGGGCCTCAGGTTCTCCCACAAGCTCAGGTACCTCAGGAAGAGCAGAACCTGGGCTCCTGACTGGGGAGCCACGATTATTGGAACTATGATTACTGACCCAGGAGCCAGTAGGAGAGTGGACAGGGCCCTGGAAAGGCCTCTGGGGAGCAGGGTGTGGGGGCCAGGACACAGCTTCCACTGAAGCCCAGTCCTGGCTGGGGAGCTGGCATTTTCCTGATGAAACATGAAAGCTCAAGACAGGGGCAGTATGGGGGAGCAAAATATGAAGGGCAGGGACTCCCAGAGATGGGGCTGGGCCTGGGACTGTGCTCAAGGCTGACCTCATGGGGAAGAGAAGGGGCCAGTCTCCAGTGAGCCATCCCCTTGGCGTCACATTCCAATGTGGTTTCTGGGCCTGTGCGTAGGAGCGGTATGGGGCTGGTGGCCAGGACAGAAAGTTTTTCTGTGGCCCAGAAATCTTTGAACCTGTAATTGGAGCTATCACAGCTGGTTGGCGCTGTGAATTGGAGTTTAAAAGGAATCAACCAAAAGCACTTTCTTCCCTTTCAGCTGCAAGCGATGGAGGACCTGCCCTTCTTCTCAGGAAGAGCTGCCTGTGGTTGTAATGTTATGCAAATAGCTGGCACTTTCCCCTGTGGTTTCTGAAGGCTGCTCAGGTGTGTGCACACGGGATAACTGAGCCAGCCCAGTCCTGACCTCTGGACGGGGGAGGGGGTGCATGTGCTGCCAGCTATGTTTGTTCAAAGGCAAGCCGCTGCAGGTGTCTGAGTCTTTTGGAGATGTGAGTTCTTTTTTGGCATTGCTGTGGGAGCCAGCAGGAGGGTCAGCTTGGGACAGAGCCCGGATGAGAGGCAGCCCGCCAGGGTGCGGAAAGTGACTCTGGACGCCTGGGACATTGCTAATTTGGAACTAACGCCCACAGTTAGGAAAGGGGCCTTGCAATGAGTGTTGTGGGTCTTGTCTTTCTGCACCTAGGACAGGGGTGAGAGAGGTGTCCATCTCCTGGGCCTGCATGGGGTGGGTGGGGTGGGCGAGCTGCTTCAGTGAGAACACTTGGCCCACAGAAAGGCGTTCTGCAGCAGAGCCTGGGACCAGCTGATGTGGGGACCCAGGACACTGGAAGCCATCCACCCAGGCCTCCACCTCCCCCCTTGGGTCAGCTCCATCCTCTTTGCTCTCAGCATGCACGTTCCTGCTCCCCAGCCTGGCCCACCCAGGTTGTATTTCCTCCCCTCAGCCCCCTTGAGGCTATGTGGTTGGTCTCAGTTCCAGAAGGGCTCTGCTGGCAGGTGCATGCCTCATCTGAGGGGAGGGTGGCAGGTGGACAACGATTCTTTGCTTGATCAAGCTTTAGTTAGGCTTCACAACCTTATCCTAGGCCCATCTGTGCACTTCCTTGTAAAACCTAGTTTTGCAAGAACCTTGCTAAGTCAGTTTATCAAGAACCCTCCACCCTCATGTCTGATCAGGTTCTTGACCCCCCACCATCCCCAGCTGATGCCTGATCACCCTGGTCTGCCTTTAACAAGAATCTTGGTAGGTCAGTTTAGCCAGAATCCTCCCTGATCCTTGATGTTTCCTCAGTAATTTTCTCTCCACTGACCCTCACCCTGTTCCTTGGCTATTGTAGTGGAGGAAAAAGTTTTCCGTGACCCTCAGAGGTTCCCTGGCTGGGTCTGAAAATTAAACTGACAAAGACAGATTAACAAGAGAAAAGCATACAAATTTGTTTAATTTTTCTAAGTTTTATGTGACATGGGAGCCTTCATAAGGAAATGAAAACCCAGAGAAAGTTACGTTTGAATATTTTATGCTAGGTTTGATGAAACGGGGTTCAGTTCTGAGCAGGAGGGAGAAGCACTGTTCAGGAGTGCTGTGGCTGGCGTGAGGTGGTATGGCTCTTTGTGGCGCTGCCCTCAGCATCCTGCTCCAATGACTGCAGATCAGTAGGCATCTTCCAGCCTCAGGCTTCTGAGCTTGCTGTTCCCTGTCTGGAATTCTTGACTCCATATTAGCTGGCTCCTTCCTCTTCTTCAGGTCCACTGGGATGTCACTTTCTCACTGAGGCCTTCCTTGACCCCCAAGCTCCCTCTCCCACCCCTCTGCCCAGGTGTGAGCTGCTGCTCCTGGGCTCCCATAAATGGAGGATTACAGTAGTATCCACTCATCCCTCATCCCATTGGTGGGAGGCAAGACTTAGTCCCAGCTGGCTTGTGGCAAGTCTGTACTATTATTACTGCTATTGTCATTATGTGGGTGATGGGTGGTGCTGGGCAGGGGCCATGAGAGCTTCCAGCTGGGGAGGATCTCCCACAGGGGGCATCTTAGCTGAGGCCTCGGGAAGATAAGGGTTATCTGGGTGACAATAAAGAGGAGAGGTGAAGACAACTTGTCAGACAGTTGAATTACAAGCAGGGGTCTGTTTTTATTGCAATCTTGCAAGCAAGGGACAGGCGCCTGAGAGAACACTTCAGAGACTCATCCAGGGCAGGAAGGAGAATCACCGTCAGACTAGACACGGAAACAACCTCTGGTCACAGATCACTCGCCATGAATGTCACTCAGCTGGTTGGGTAATTAGTTCCCCAAAATGACATACCCTCATTGAAGTTCATCAGATCATTGCATGAGCATTTTGTTAGGAACACTAATTTCTTCTCAGAAGAAAGCTCTGCCCAGACCAGATGTGGGACAATTTTTCCTTTCCAGTGCTTTCAAGGAACTAGTTGGAGCTCAAGAAGAACATCTTCTTGAGCAGATCCAATATTTGGTCCCCAAAGTGGCTGCAGGCAGCAGACTCTAGATTCAGTGTCTACTGCAGTCAGGACGCCCCACTGCAGGGCCTGGTCCAGGTCCAGCTGTCGTGGGGTGAGAGGCAGCGGCCAGTGCAGGGGTCCAAGGGCTTGAGGAATGCAAAGAATGCAGGGCAAGCACCTAGGTGAGTCATAGTCCAGCATTCCAGGGCAGAACAGGGGCAATTTAAAGTAACCACAGGAAGAGAAGGCTTGGACACGAAGATAATTGCACCATTTTGCAAATCTCCTTCAGCAAAGTTCTGAGGAGTGGATATTGGAGGAAGACGATCCTAAATCAGGCAGAAGTGACAGTGAGCATAGGTTCTAGATCTGAAGGGCTGGGTGGTGTTGACTGTTTGGTAATTAAAACCAGGCTCCTGACAGCCCATGAGAATGAAGCTGAGATGCTGGAGACTCCTTGGTTTAATGGAGAAAAAGGGTATCCAAAGGTCAAGAGAGATAGGAATGTATTGTTCTTGACCTGCTCAGTTGTCCCCTAACTGTCCTCTGAGAGTGCCCGGAGGACATCCCCTCACTAAGACATTCAAGGGTATACTTTAGAGTAGGGAGGGGAACAACAACACCCTTGAGAGGCTCTGGGGGGCTGGGCATTGTAGGGTGGAAATGAAATGGGGTGAAGAGATAACAGGGTGGCAGGGACCACGTGTCCAGGCAGGTGTGGTCATCATCATGGTCAAGCAAAATGGTGTGGCCTCAGAGACCTTTGGTTCATTGGTCATGGAGTCACCCTCCAAGACAAAAACAGAGGGCAGTGCCAGTGGAGGTGGGGGCAGTGGTGGAAAGACCCTGGGTCTCAGGAACATGGCCCGGACTTGACTCATAATGCAGGAGAGTCATAGCTCCTCTTCCAATTCCTGGACATGAGTCACTCGCAGACCTGGAGCTGTCTGCTGGAGGGAAAGACCTGGCAGAAATACTCAAGGCTGTACTAAGTCTTCCCCCTGGCTTCCCCCGCAGGGAGGTGCAGTCTTTGGCCAGGATGGCCACACACTGGGGGAAGGGACATCCTGGCTCGCAGGCGTTGTTGGCCACTGGCTCTGAGCTACTGCCACTTCCCAGACACTGATGCCCCTGTAGTCCACTGATGAGAGGGGGGCTTTGGAGGTTAGGTGAGACATGCATTTTGAGCCACAGTCGATCTCACAATGGACACAGTGGGTGTGTGAATCTATCTTGTATTAATTTCCCTGGTACTGAAACATATGATTTGAATAGATATATTGACCAGCTGGCCAGTACAACACTACCTGCTGATCCAGGCAAGGACTCTCAAGGTGGGAAGCCCAATGGAGGCTCCTGGAGTTCCCCTCCTATGTTGGTTGAGGAAACACCAGCTACTTTGACAGATAAACCCC